AACTTCTTATATCTCGGAATGTTAATGTCGTCAACTGAGATCTAAACTTTTCAAATACTATATCATGCAATTCAACAATTGACTCCTCGGAGTTAACTTCAGAATGGAAAGTATGCAGCTTTGTAGTCTACATAATCTTGGAACGCTTTTCCATATGCAACGCATATCTAAATTGAGCGATCAATTTGAATAAAATGATGAGGATGTTTAATGGGCAATTGTATGCATCTTACTTCTATAGCTTCGCCATTTTGTTATGTCAAAAAATAAAAAAGCGAGGAAAATAGCAATTTAGCTGAACAAACCTGCACCAAAGCTTCAGCGTCATCTTGCGTGAAATGCGCTCCATACTGAGTTTTGACTACCTCAAAATAATTTCTAATAGAAACAAAAAAGAGTAACATAATAAGTATGAAAAAAGCAAAGGCCGATTAAAGAGACATTTGCAATGAACAAGGTAGGTATTACAGATGAAAGCTCACCGTTTCATATAATACAGCTAAGTCGTCACGAAGAGCATTCTTCGCACCAACATAGTTGAACTCCCAAGCTCCACGCAAATTTTGTCTGCAAAATACAAACTTTAAAAACTCACCACTACTAATTCTAACAATTAACCTCACCTAAAGAATTCTGGACGAATTCTTCGCATCTTAGCAGCAGGCCAGTCTTGTATATTGAATATGCTTAACGGGTGTTCATCGTAGGGCTGGCCGCCGAATTTGGATAGAGCACTGAACCTTCATAAATGTAGCTGTAGCTTCAAGAGCAAAATTGGAGTGATAAAGAAAATAGCTAACAAAGGATACTTAGTCGAAAGGGTGATCAAATATGGTTTGGGTCCGTACGACGCCTTGGGTCGTTTTCTTCGTCGAATCCACCCTTGTTAATGCTTTATATATGTATCAATTTTTCGTCGTTAGCTAACTGCGAAAAACGATACTCGATACCCAAAAACGTCTGTAGCGTAAAACAGCAACACAAAAGCTGGATGATTTAACAAAGATTTAATAGATGTAACCCATTACGCTATTGTTGTAGGATAAAGTTGATTTTTTAAAACAATCTATTACACATCGTAAGCGATAAATTTGCAAAAAAATCATATTTTCCAAAAGAACGCTTTGCAAATATGTAAACTGGAACCAGCATTCCAAGCTGCAATGCCAATGTATCCTCTTTTAACTGAAACTTCA